GTGCAAGTCATAATCCATCCACTAGTAAACTATTCAAAATTCATCTTGTCCTGGACCAGCATTTCTTAGAAAATAATTGTACAAGTAACGCACATGGACGATATACTAACATTATATATTTCCGTTTGTTGCCTTCGAAAATCGACGGGCAACAAAAAAGAAAAGAGGATAAAGATAGATATTAATCTGAGGAATGGGTGGTCTAATGCCAAAATTTAATTGGATAGAATTATTCGATACTCTATAAGATAACTAAAATGCATCAGAATATAGATATAGATATAGATACTCATTGAGCAGCATAACTTGACAACTACATTCATGCAATTAGTAATATCATAAATTATATGAAGTATATATATAATGTAGACTAAGAGCTTCAAGCAATTAATAAACATCACAACACAAAAGGTTTGGGTGGAAAACATCGAATTTTTCTATCTTTAACCAGAGATTTTCAGACTTTCGATATGAAAAATATGCTTTGTTTTAAAATATATTTTTTATTTTTCTTTTCAAAAGCCGCCTCTGGACCTATATATATATATTCCAAAGTGTTGTCTCAGTCTACAATGTCTTATATTTTTGTTTTCTTTATATGAGGGCTTTATTACATTAGAAAAGATATATATTAAGTTATTTCATTTTCTCTACAAAAATCCCTTTTATACATGATCTAATTGACAATAAATTGAAATAATTATTTTCCATATACCTAATGTCTATTATTCTACGGTGAGCTATTCTTGTGTAAGGAAAAATATATAATAATGTCAAAAAGAATTTATCGTTTTAACTATCATAATAATATATTCCTGAGTCAGAAAAGACAAAAAGACGGTTTTTTTCTTTTTTGCTTAATATATAGTTACAATATGTTTGTTTACAATAACTAATTCTCGTTGATCAAGTACTACGAGTATCGTCAAATAAATAACAATAAGTCAGTTGGCTAGGAGTTGATGTGTAGAAACCTTTGCCCAGAACTCGATCTACGCCCCCCTCAAGGTTAGGGGCACTCAAAAACTCAAATATATTTCCTCCGTCAAAAAATTATACCGTATGACACAAATAGCGTAAAAACCATCTTTTTATTATATATGAAAAGATATATATTAAGTTATTTCATTTTCTCTACAAAAATCCCTTTTATACATGATCTAATTGACAATAAATTGAAATAATTATTTTCCATATACCTAATGTCTATTATTCTACGGTGAGCTATTCTTGTGTAAGGAAAAATATATAACAATGTCAAAAAGAATTTATCGTTTTAACTATCATAATAATGTATTCCTGAGTCAGAAAAGACAGAAAAGATGGTTTTCTTTTTTTCCTTAATATATAGTTACAATATGTTTGTTTACAATAACTAATTCTCGTTGATCAAGTACTACGAGTATCGTCAAATAAATAACAATAAGCCAGTTGGCTAGGAGCTGATGTGTAGAAACCTTAGCCCAGAACTCGATCTACGCCCCCCTAAAGGTTAGGGGCACTCAAAAACTCAAATATATTTCCTCCGTCAAAAAATTATATCGTATGACACAAATAGCGTAAAAACCATTTTTTTATTATATATGAACTGTCAAATCTCCTTTACATAAAAGAATATTCTAGTGTGATGGGAAAGAGTTCAAAATTTGTTTTAGATTATAGGTTTAAATTCCGAGTATAACGTTTTCAATATTTTAGTTTTTTTTTTTTTGAAAAAAAAAAAAGTTTAACAGAAACTTATGTTATATTCCATGGCCCACTCAATCATGAAAAAGTAAATTATACATGTGAAAGGTTTTATAATCACCTACCAAACTTAATTAAAGAGCATCCATGCGAATAATTAAGTGCTTTCCTTTTTCTAATTAATGCTAATCTTTCCCACCTTTTTCAAAGTTTACGTTTGGTGCATTAATAGTATATTGATTATTATATCGATAAGTTGATTAAAATTACAATAACATGTTAGTTCTTAAATATGCATAGTGTATGTGGTTGATGTTTGGTGCATTATTTGAGTAAAGATACAAAATGAATTTATTTTTGCCACTACTATTAATTAATACTTGGAAATTTTTAGTTGGTATATATTAATAATTCAGTTATTATATAGTACTTCTCTCAATCGTATCTCTCTCCGAAATGAAAGTAGAAAATGACCGTTTGTTTTTTATTGGCTTAATAAAATATAGTGATATAACGTTTTTTTAGTCCTTTTTCGAATCCTACTATTAAAAAGAATGTTCACTTCTAAAAATATTATTTATATACGTAGGTAGGAACGTGGAAAGGAGTGATCTGATTTATCCCAACGGCAGCAAAAGTAACAATTTATAATGTTACAATAATATTGTACACATATTACATATGAATTATGTATTTCTCTGTTATTATTAATTTAAGTAATAAAGTGAGTGACCACTTAAATTTACTCTTTACTAATTATTTTTTAATATTCAACCCAGTTCAAATGAGTTGTATCGTGTTGACTTGACTTAACCAATTGAACCCAAATATGACTTATTAAACGATTGGATCAACTTTGATATACAAAAATAATTTAAATTTCGAAAAACAAAAAAAAATCACTTTTCTTTAAAAGAAAAAGCAAGTTCTCTTTTTTTTTTTTTTTATTTGAAATAAAGAAAGAAGAGAAAGTAAAACAATAAAAGAGGAGGAGGTAGGTCATATCTTCTTTAAAAAAATAATCAATTTGACTCATTTTAATCCGTGACATTAATACTATTCTAATATCCTATCTTAAAAAATAAAATTATAATTTGTTATGTTCGACTAGATAAAATAAGGTGTAATGTTTTCTTTAAGGTGTATACAACTTCAATTTATTTAAGAAATTATATCAAATCCATACACTGATGCAAGATCTCATATTATATGCTGACTTTGAGTACATGGATGGTACTTTTTCGTTTAAAATTTATTCCTTCCCTCTCATATTAGTTATTCATCTTATTAAAAAAATTATTCAAAATTAGTTCTTGTTTATTTTACTAATTAAAATATAATTAATAAAAAATATATTCTATTTTACCTTTATAATTAGTAAAAAGTTTTTTCGAATAAATAGACAAGTTCATAGAGTTCCAAAAAAAATTCTTTTTCAATGACTTCATTAAATGCCTAAATTTTTGCTCCTACCCATTCGAATCTTTTACCCTACTCCCTCCGTCCAACGGTAGTTGTTCACTATACTATTTTGGAATGTCCAACAATACTTGATCACTTTATGAAATCAATAGACAATTTTATACTTAATTACTGATTTACCCTTATCATTAATTATAGTTATTTCCCTATTACATTATTCAAGACATTCTATTTATTATATTCAAAGAGTGATATAGTAAATCTTAAGAAGTGTGCAAAGTCAATAGTGAACAAATATTGTTGGACAGAGGAAGTATAAGAAAGACTCTTAAGGGAACTACATAAGCAAAAATATACTCCCTCCGTTCCTATTTATATATCGTTCTTATTATAAATAGATGTATCTTAATATTTGCTACTATTTCACAAAACCAATACATAAATGGGTAATGCTAAATGGTCAGAAAATTTGGCCAGAAATTTAAGAAGTCTATAATATCTTTTTTATTTTAAAATAAACTGATATTTTTTTAATTAAAAAGTATTAAAGTTAAAAGGGTAAAAATGTTCAAAAAGGTAAAATAACATAGTGTGAAATATGTTATTTTACCATTTTGACCAAATTTTCTGGCCAAAAGGTTTTTTCCTACATAAATAACATTATTCTTCATATTTTATCCTTGAGAGTTATTAAACTTGAAAATATGAATTTAACCAACATATGAAACCTAAATCATTAATTCATGTTTATCGGTTAATTTAATTAATCAAAATAAATGATTTATGTCCATTTATTGAAAATTTGACTTTAAAAAAACACTAAATAAGAGTATAATGATAAACTTATTTAATTTTTCAAGGAACATGAAATTTAAATTGGTAACATATAAATAGAAACGCAATGCAGGGAGTATCAAAGAATGAAATGGAACGGAAAAATTAAAATTGATTATCCTATATTTGAAGATAAACATTTTGTATAAATGATTCTAATATTTCTATACATGGTATTGATAAATAAACGGTACTCATATTATTCATGATTTCTTCTTAATTTTATAAAATGAAAAGTGAACAATTAAGTATGAAAAATAGAAAGTATCTGTCTAATTTTGACTCAATATAGATAAATATTTTGTATAAATGATTCTAATATTTCTATACATGATATTGATAAATAAACGGTACTCATATTATTTATGATTTCTTCTTAATTTTATAAAATGAAAAGTGAACAACTAAGTATGAAAAATAGTAATTTAAAAGATTAATTTTTTTATATATATAAAATGTACTAAAATATTATTTAATCTTGTGAGGTTAAATATGACATATGAAAAAGTTATATTCCTTCCATTTTATTTTACTTAATCTTTATACGAAAAATAAATATTTCATTATGTAAAATGTATCAAGTCAATAATTTTATTTTAGGGAAAAATGACAAATATACCCCCGAATTATCGTAAATGATATACATCTACCTTTCGTCATACTTTTGGGACATTGATGCCCCTGCCGTCCAAAAACTAGAGCATATATACCCTTTATACAAACGGACACACACGTGTTATAATCTTATCCGCCGACCTGACATTTAATAAATATCAGATCGACGGATAAGATTGTGTCATGTGTCCCTATTTAGTCTTCCGTTAGAGTGAAGGGCATATATGCTCTAGTTTTTAGACGGCAGGGACATCAATGTCCCAAAAGTATAACGGATGATATCTGCATACCATTTACGACAGTTCAGGGGTATATTTATCTTTTTTCCCTTTATTTTATAAAAGAATTACTATAAAGAAAAATATGAGTATTTCTTAAAATGAACTTTTGAAAAAAAACATAGTAATACAAATAAATTGAAATGGTGAAGTAGTACAATTTGGCTTTCACCATGTGCTTGCTTTCTTCCTCCCTCTCTGCTTTCCCCTGTTCTACCCCACTCCCTCTCTTTATATATACACTGTACTAACACTTTCATTTGAATTTCAACACCCAAATTGAAAACATGGGGTTCCTATTTCTCTCACTATTATTACTTTTCTCAGTAGAAACAAAAGCAAAAACAGAGCATTTTTTTCTGAACAACACCAGCACCAGCAGTAGCAACTCCATAAATGGAATTAAAAGTAGTTGTAATATTTACAGTGGAAAATGGGTTTATGATTCTTCATATCCTCTCTATGATTCTTCAAGTTGTCCTTTTATTGACAATGAATTCAACTGCCAAAAGTACAAAAGACCTGATAATTTGTACCTTAAATACAGATGGCAGCCTTTTTCTTGCAACCTGCCAAGGTTTGTTAGAAGAGAATCTTTTTGACTCATTCTGTTTTGCTCCGACTCTTCAGAAATGTTATTGGTGCATTGTTGGAGGATCTGACATATGTGCGGTATCATTTTTGAAGAGTTGGAACAAGTTAGGTTGTTTTTAGTTGTTACTAATTATTTATTTTTATTTTTTGGAAAATGTTGATTTTTTTGCAGGTTTAATGGGTTGGTTTTCTTGGAGAAATATAGGGGGAAGAATATAATGTTTGTGGGTGATTCATTGAGTTTGAATATGTGGGAATCATTAGCTTGTATGATTCATTCATGGGTGCCAAATGCTAAAACTGCTGTCATAAAGAAAGAAGGAATTTCTGAAATTGTATTTCTGGTAAGTCTTTTCTTTCTATCGAGAATCTATCGAAAATAACTTATATTTACTTTTTTAATATCTTACTTGTAAAATTACATTAGACATATTGTTACTATTATTTGTTCGTGCTAGTATCTTTTCTCGGTCTCATAATAGGGATGGAGTCAGAATTGTGCGAGCAATTGAATCCTTTATTAAAAAAAATACATTATATAGATAGAGAAACTTCTTTTTTGTTCATATACAAGTTTTTGAATTTTTTGGCTTATGATTTTTTCATTTTTTAATCTTTTTATTTGAATTTCTAATTCTACTCTTTTTGTTTTATTTTAAAAAAAGATTGGCGAAAATGTTGGAGTAGCTTTATTTAAGACATGCTTGTCTTGTCCTTGTCTTTATGTAGCCTTTTAAAGGAAGGTAAATTTTGCTACATATATGCATGTATTTAAGTATAAAATTTTGAGTAATCAAATTTAATATAACATAAGGTGTGTTTGATACGGAAGAAAATTTTAAAAATATTTTTAATTTTTTTATTTTGATTAATTAAGTCATCAATTTTTTGAAAAATAAGCTTTTAATTAAGAGCCCGTTTGGATTGACTTAAAAAAAGTAACTTTTAAAAAGTAACTTTTTAAAGTGTTGGAACTTATTTTTAAAATAAGTAGTTATGTGTTTGGATAAAAGTGTTGTAGTTGAAAAAAAGTTGTTGATGTGTTTGGCAAATAAGTGTTGGTAAACACTTTTTTTATCAAAATGTCTGAAATATCCTTTAAGTTGTTAACATGATGAAAAGTTGATTAATTTAAGGTTTTTATACTTAAAAAAAAATTAAAACAAAATTAATTTATATTTTACATCCATAAGTAATAATATTTTCCTATCATTCACATATTTTTTTACCACCACAAATTATTTATAAGAGGAATAATAATAATAATAATAATAATAATAATAATAATAATAATAATAATATAATAAAATAATAATAATAATAATGATAATAAAAAAAAAATAATGATAATAATAATAATAATAAAATAATGATAATAATAAAATAATAATAATAATAATAAAATATTAATAATAATGATAAATAATAATAATAAAATAATAATAATAATAATAAAATAATAATAATAATAATGATAATAATAATAATAATGATAATAATAAAATAATAATAATAATAAAATATCACATATTTCTTTACCACCACAAATTATTTATAAGAGGAATAATAATAATAATAATATAATAATAATAATAATAATAATAATGATAATAATAAAATAATAATAATAATAATAATAATAATAAAATAATAAAATAATAAAATAATAATAATAATTTTAAAAATAAAATAATAATAATAATAATAATTCAATATGGGCAATTTGGAAATTGTATAAAAGAATTAAGCGCAAAAAGGTAATATACTTGGTCAACATAAAAGGGCTTTTAAGTTAAAAAAAAAAAAGAAGCTCCCCTCCCCTAGCTTTTAACTTTTGGCTTAAAATAAGTCATTTTTGACTTAAAATAAATCACTTTGATAATTGTCAAATACTCTAAAAGCCCATCCAAACCGGCTCTAAGAATCAGAAAAAATGATTTTCCTTGGAACCAGGAAAAACAAGTCTTTTTTTTTATTAACAGTCATTTCAAGATCACCATCACTTCTTAACTGTCCTACCCTCGTCCCATCCCCTTAATAATATTTTTATAAATTACATATAAATATTTTTACATAATATTTTTATTACTTACTTATCAAACGTTAAAAAATATATTTTTTTATACCAAACACACTCCAGTAATTACTTCTGTCTTCTAACCTTATAGGATGCTTATTTCATAATTATTATAGGTGTTATAATAATGCATGCTTTAATTACAAGGACATATGTTTTTTTCGGCTGAATTTTATTTTATTAAATTAATTAACAAAGTAGTTCGATTTAAATTAGGAATTTTTGGTTTTGATAAATTGGTGTTTTAAACATTGAAATTGAATTACTAGTTATAATAGAGCTTTTAGGAATTCTTGTGATATTTTTTATTTTTCAACTTTTAAGAGGTGACAATAATCATAATAATTGTGAAAAAATAAATAAAGCGTGCAGCGTGTTTTAAATTTCAAGTTTCACTTTTATTTGCTGTTTGGCATAATAAAGACAACAATGTGGCAGCCGCTCCATATATTTATTGCCTTTTTTTCTCACACAGAGGAGAGGAAAATAATAAAATTATATATATATATATATATATATATATATATGATCTAACAAAACACCGTAGGAATGAGAAGGGTGGGAAGTGGGGGCTTCGGGAGTCAGGGGTGGGATGGTCAATTGGTAGAGTTGGGGGCATTGCGTGGGAGGAGAGAATGTATAAATGTCACTTATAAAACCCGTTTTTTTTATTTCTTTCAAGAAAGTCATTCTTTTTATTTTTAATGAACTTATTTTCGTAAAGAAAATATTTTTCAAAATTTTGTTCAACGAAACACACAAAAAATGAAAAAAATATATTTCCTCCTAACCAAGCACACATAGCAAATCACGGAAACACTTAAGAGAATTGATTTTTTTTTTGTCGGAATTTAAATTTTACTCCTTTTTTTGTTCGTTTTCCACACTTCTTTGAATCTTTTTAATCGTCAAATATTTCTAAAGCTGGAATTGACAAATATTGGAAAAAGAACACACGACAATCATGACTAAATTTGAACACAATTTTCTTTTTGAAAATTGTATTATAAGCATATGGATTTGTCATCAATTTTGCCGGAGATCACGTCGTAATTAAGGGTGATTTGGTACAAGGAAATTGTTTTTATTGATTTATTCTAGTGGAGGAGACCATTAGTATGAAATGTCAAATTGTGAAATTTGTTTTTCCAATTTTTATGAGGAAAGACATTTTTATGAATTTGTTTTATGAGCCGGGATCATTTGATGCAGAGTTTAAGAATGTGAAGAACACTTGTCAATTATGTGATTTTAAATTAAATATATATAAAATAGGGAAAAAGGACAAATATACCCCTGAACTATTATAAATGGTATGCAGATACCCTCCGTCATACTTTTGGGACATTGATGCCCCCGTCGTCCAAAAACTAGAACATATAAGCCCTTCACTTTAACGGAAGACTAAATAGGGACACGTGGCACAAACTTATCCGTCGATCTGAAACTCAATAAATGTCGGGTCGGTGGATAAAATTATGACACGTGTATGCATGTTAGTATAAATGGTATATAAGCTCTAGTTTTTGGACGGCAGGGGTACCAATGTCCCAAAAGTATGACAGAGGATATCTGCATACCATTTACGATAGTTCGGGGGTATATTAGTCCTTTTTCCCGTTTAAAATATTACAATGTATCAAAATGTCTTTTAATGTTATGATTTTAAACATGTCAGGTAGAAAGTAAAAGTTAAAAAATTATATTAAAAAGACATTATTTTTCAAAAGAACTAAAATAGAAAGTAAAACACGAATTGAAACGAAGAGAGTAATTTTTGTAATATCTAGATTGCCTATCTTGTCAAACACCAATCTCGAAAATAATATTTACACAATCAAATTATTGGATACTATAACAAGTTAAAGTTAACTAATAATATAGGAATGTTACACTTCAAATATAGTATATTTGGAGTGTATATGAATCAAAGTTATGCTAATGAGGCCATACCTATTTAATTTGTTATATTAGTAGTTGTGGGTAGACACTCCACTAGAGTTATTGTTTGAGAAAAAGAAGTAATTAGGAGAACAAGACAACATGTAAAAGTTTGGTAGCCCATTAATTACTTATTTCATACTCTTTCTTCTCTAATGTCTAAAGTTTATATATGGCAAACAACATACTTGGACCACTTCTTTACTACTTATGCCAAGTATATTAAATTGCATTGTTTTTTTAATAAGAAATAACTTTACTTTTCTTTGAAAAAACATTACACTTTCTCCATAATGAAAAAGATATTTACATGTGCAATGTCCCTTTTGTAGTTTTGATCTTTTAAATTTGTCACAAGTGAGTACTTCTATTTACTGAGGACATGACATAGTTATAGCTCATTGAAGACGCGATCTTAAATAAGAAGGTGTGTGAAGAACACAAATTAACATAGAAGGATAATAGGTAAGAAGGTGTCCGTACCAATAGGTAGGAGTGTACTAAATTGTCGTCCATTCGAGTACATTGCATTACTCTTGTTTCGTATATGTTGTATAGAATAATTTGTTATAATATTATTTTGTTGTAGTATTGTTTTTCTACTATCTGTTGTTTCTTTTATTTCCATTACCTTTTTTTTATTAGACTTTTTTTATCTTGAGTCCATGGTCTATCAAAAACAATCAATCTACCTCTATAAAAATACAAGTCAGGTCTGATTATACTCCACTCTTCCCAAATCCACTTCATGAGACTACATAGATATGTTATTATCATTATTGTTATAAGTGAGCGCGTTCGATCTTTGTCAAATATTTATCAAACTCTGATTGTGTAATATAGGATTATGGAGTAAGATTGTTATTGTACCGGACTCCTTACTTGGTAGACATGGTGAGAGAAAATGTTGGAACTATTCTAAAGTTGGATTCTATAATAAGTGGCAATGCTTGGAGAGGAATGGACGTCTTGATTTTCAACAGCTGGCATTGGTGGACCCACACTAAAAGTTCTCAACCGTACGATCTTCTCTTATCTTATCCGTGTTTTTTCAATTAAATAAATACATATTTAAATGAGTTTATAACTTATGGCTCGACCCTAAGGACTTGGGCTAGTTCCACCAGCCTAATCCATCAGTTAGATCCGGCCCTAGAGGCCGAGACCAGTTGATGACATATCAGTCAACTTGGTTCATCCAATTTCTCGAGATCAATCGACTTGACTCGAGATGTTAGTAGATGTAAAGTAAAAAACTTTTTTTTAATATAATTGCAGGTGGGATTATATGCAAGAAGGTAATAAAGTATTTAAAGATATGAACCGTTTGGTGGCTTATTACAAAGGGATGTACACGTGGGCAAAATGGGTTGACCGAAATGTTGACTCATCTAAAACCAAAGTCTTCTTTCAAGGAATTTCACCAACTCATTACGAGTAAGTAATTACTTTTTCTTCAAATCATTTCAATTTGTGATTTACTTTAAACTTTTTTTCCAATTTCTTCAAGTAGCAATGATTACATTTAGTGGATGCCAAATTTGCATATTGAGTTGAATTTGAACAAATTAAAATAAAATGAATCAGTAAATATTGAACATGTCAATAACCACACAAATATTAATGTGGAGATGGATTTAGGTCAAGATTAGCTAAATAATGGGATATAGACCACTCCATCCAACTCTTGCCAAATTTTGATTTATTTATTTATTTATTTTCTTATAGTAATTAGCTTAATTACCTATTATTTCATTTTATTTTTTCTTTATTATGGTAAGATATCGAACGAAAAATAGTTTTTTTTTCTTTTAAAAAAGAGTCAATTTGAACTACATATATAGTCTAGACCAATCCAAATTTTAGATTTCTTGAATTGGTTAGGTCAAATGTATGTCCAAACTTAAACGAGTTGAACGAGTTATATGATTATAAATTAACTTTTATCACCATAAGTTTCCTTTTCTTTTTTTTTAACATGCACTTATTATTTTAAAAATATCAGGGGAAAAGATTGGAATGATCCAACAAAATCATGCAAGAATGAGAAACAACCCTTCTTTGGCATAAGGTATCCAGCAGGAACAACTCAAGCAGCCATTGTGGTTAACAAAGTACTAAGCAGAATTAAAAAATCAGTTCATTTATTGGACATTACAACACTTTCTCAATATAGAAAAGATGCACATCCAACTTCTTATAGTGATCACAATACTTTAGATTGTAGCCATTGGTGTCTCCCTGGATTGCCTGATACTTGGAACCTTCTTCTCTATACATCACTCATTAGTTGAAGACGAAAATGCGATCGGATTTTATGTTTTCTATAACAACATCTTGTTGTAACAGCCAAAACATATCTGAACAGATGGTGTTGTTATAGAGAGGTTTGATTGTGGTGAATGATTTTCAATTGTAAGGTGATTTGTGTTTAGGAATTTGTTTGACTTTAAATTGTCATTTGATGATAGTCAACAAAATAAGAATGGTTAGTGAGTGTTGAAGTGTAATATAGAAAAAATGTGATTTTTAGGCATGAGAGGATGCCTTAATTAGTTGAATTTGATGAGGCATATTGCCTCTGAATTTGTACTTAATTTCTGTTGATTCAATTGATGTTGTAAGATTATTTTTTATTATAATAATTTAAAAGTGAAATTTATGAATTTGTTTTATTTATGGCTTAGTAGTTAAATGATGGATGTTTCTAAAGATCAAATCATTATGTAGAGTTGTTAGGCGTAAAATTTTCGCATTAAAAAAAAAGTGTCCAGATTGATAGGGGCCTTAGGCAGAAAATGTAAATAAAGTGTTTTATATATTACTCCCTCCGTCCCTATTTACTTGTCCATATTTCCTCTTTTAGATGTCCATATTTACTTGTTCATTTTGACAAATCAAGAAAGGACAAAAAAAAAATTCCTATTATACCCTCATTTAAACTTCTTGAAAATTTAAACTCCCCCCAACATTGATTAGTTATCTTGAATAAATTTATTTTGGAATCATAATTAATAAGGGCAAAATTGTAACTTCACTATGCTAATTATTGTTGCTTTAATATGTGTGTCATTTCTAAAGTGGACAACTAAATAGGGACAGAGGGAGTAATCATATAGAGTAAAATATCATTTTTCTATTCTTTCTCCAACTAAGAATGCATTAAATCTTCTTTTTATATTATCAAATTTTAATTTCAATATCTCAAATTATAATTCATTTTAATTTTTTCAATAAAAATCTGCTTAATCACTTGAAAATTATAAATGTAATTTATTTTAACAAAGGTCGTTCTTTCAACCACTAGAAAAATACTAGTACTTACTAAATGTATGTACTAGATAAAGACGTCTGGGCCCAACATTTTAAATTAAATGTTTTAATTTTTGTTGAGAATTTTATAATTTCAATAATCTAGTCTAGAGTGAAAATGACAAATATCAAATATGCAAAAATTATAAAAATTGCAGTCATTTGGGAATGCAATGGCAACATATAGAAAACAAAAGAAAAGATAACAAAATTGATCCCCTAGTTGCCAATTCAACTTCAACGGTAAGAATGAAAAACATTGAAATATGTATAATAGCAAACACAACACCACTATTAATTAGAATTTCAACATTTGTCTAAATATCTTTTTTGAAGCAAATTATGACCTCTATATTATATAATTTGGCTAATTATAGTATAAATATTTTGCAGTGATCCACTTTTGGCACAAGGATAAGAAATATGACAAATTACTTAACTACACTCCTTTACTTACCTTAATATCCATTTATCCCTACTTATTTCAAAAATTTCAAAAATCCCTTATTTTACCTATGTATCCCGCATGTATCCCGTGCACAACGTTATGTATCCCGCTATGTGGAATGTATCAAACGCTATGAATCCCGTGCACAACGTTATGTATCCCGCTATGTGGAATGTATCAAACGCTATGTATCCCGTGCACAACGCTATTCATCCCGCATGTATCCCATGCACAACGCTATGCATCCCGTTATGTGGAATGTATCAAACCTAATGTATTCCATGCACAACGCTATGTATTCCGCTATGTGGAATGTATCAAACCTAATGTATCCCGTGCACAACGCTATGTATCCCGCAAACATCATTTTTAAGGGATTTTTGGTAAATAAAAAACTAGAAGGGATAGGATGTTATTTAGTATTTATAATATGTGGTTCCTATAATTTATACTAAGAAATATAAGACCTCTTTTACATTAAATTACCAAGTAAGTAATGATTTGTACAAAAACTAAGGGAGAATACTCAATGTAAAATAGAGCATTTAAGAATACATATTTAATTAAATTGTATAGGATTTAAGCAACACTAAAATTAAATTAATTTCTTTCGTTTTAGAGCTTTTTAATGAGTACAAATTAACTTTTTCTCATTCTTGCATTGGAAAAGACTTGCATTACCACATATTATATTTTTTTAAAATTATGAGTAGTAACTTATTTATAATCTAAATGTGAACAATCCTGTCAACTTCAACGTTGACTTGTCTATCAATAGAACTTTTAACATACTAACAACCTTGTGAATGCTTTGTCATCTGGCTTTTCACTAAAGTGAATTTCATACACCCTCATGAGCTTTTCTTAATCATGAATCATAGGAAAATGATAGAATATTCAACATTAGTTATACTAACATTTTCCATAGAACTTGGAAGAATAAAAATTTAATTTTACCACTCCAATTCTCCAAAAAGTATATACTCTATCTGAGAAGAAACAAATGAAAGAAAATAGGCAGAGTAACCCCAATGAAGAAGGCAAATGAATAGAAAAGCTAGAAGTGCCTATCGAAGACAATTGACTCAACATGTGGCACCAGAGAGATGAACATGACAGGACATATATAAAAATACTAAAGTACCCCTATTCGTATGCCCAACTCTCATTTCTGAATATTGTTAATAATTAGTACAATTAATATTTAGAAAGTTCATTACTCACTTATAAAGTCATAGCATTAGGATGAAGTCAATTTTCTATTCAATTTTTTAAGCTTTTAATTAAATGATATTAAATTGTTATTTGATATTTTAGAACTTTCAATTAAACTATCTAAATCTTATTATCCATCAATAAGATTTTTGACAACAAAATCAATGTATTATATTACAACAAATGACTATTATTTTATTAATTTGAAAGAATCTTTCTCTTTATATAATAAAATTTTTAAAAAAACTATAAACTATATATACACACATTTGATACTAGTTATATATATAAATAATGTTTTTGGGCCTAAGAGGCGAACCCTTACCTTTTTTAAATAATCAAATAATTTCCAGAACTATTTGATACTATAAATGTTGAACGACAATCAGAGTAAATTTTTAACTTTATGTAACATGCTTTTAAGTTAATGAGGTTTTTGCTCATCAAGAATTAAGAAAATACTTTTTTTTGTTGCACATCAATATGAAATTTGAGACGAATAACTTTATATTGTGAAACTTTAGTTTTAGTCATTTTTAGTGGCTAGTTAAAAAAGGACATTTAGTATTGCTTTTGGAGAGGATTCATGTCTGTGAAAAGATATGCTAGAAATCTTCTATCATATCCTCTCACTGACTTGAATTCTTTCCAAAGTCAGATAGCATAGGGTCTTAATTGATTCTATTTAGGGTATAACAATAGAGAGGAAAAACGCATTTAGTTTTAACCATTTTTTAAAATTATCTTATCTTAGAATGGGATAGCCCCGGTGGGAAAGGTCGAGTTTCACTTTTTGATAATAACACAGTAGTGTAGGCTTGATAAAGACTTGTCAACAGAGGACCTTCAATATTACTTTTGGAGAGGATTTATAAGTATAAAATGATATGCCTGACTGCTGAATGATTTCATTTAGGATATAAAGTAAATAGGAAAAAAAAGGTCTAATATACCTCTACTTTATTATTTAGAGCTAATAGATCATCATTATAAAAGTGATTCACGTGTATTTTTATCGTTATAAAAGTGTTTCACATATACTCCTATCATTACAAAGTGATTCATGTATACCTTCTTTCATCTAAGAGAAGTGAAAACAATAAATTTAAAACTTTTTTTCTGTCATTTTTAGTGTTAAAATATGAGAAATAAAAAGAAAAAAAAGTTAGGAAACAGATAAAACTAATTTTTTTGCTTTTATATTGTAATTTATTTTTTGTAGTTGTAAGAAAAAAAAGAGAGAAAATTTTATAAAAAATCTTACAAGAAAATGAGTGAAAAGTAATTTTGACCATTAAAATAATAAATCAATTTTTTTTTAAAAAAATAAAAAGTTTAAATTTACTTTTTCACTCCTGTTAGAAAAAATTATATAAAAAAATAATATCAAAGTTACTATTAAATAATTTTTTTTAAGAAAAAGAATTGTTTTGCTCCAAAAATCACACCCCAATTCAACTAACTTGGGCGTCATTAAGAATTACGTCTCCTTTGAGTCTAAATTTTAAGCTCCTTTTTTTGAGCTTTTTTGGACTTCATGTGGCTTCAATTTTACTTCTCTTAAATTTGGATTATCGTAAGTTAGTCTATTTCTTGTTATAATTCTTAGACTTTTTTTTTTCCAAATAAGTATTTTAATTTCTAAATTTATGAAAGTATGCCACCGTGATGCTATTAATTTGTTCCTTCCACCTTTTTGGGACCTTCTTCTGATACGTCTCAAAGTGTTTTCTTTTGTATTCTCTTTATGTATCGTTGAACGTCGTTATTTAGGATATTGTAATTTCATCACTCATTGTGACTTTGAAATTTGATTATTTAGGAGCAATCTGAGAATTTTTATATTTTTTACAATGACTAAAGAACTGGATGAAATGGAGTTTTTTTTTATTATCTCAAGATATATAAGTACTGTCATGTTGCATAACTTCTTTAAGATGTGACTTTAAATATGTTAAAACAATTCTTATTTTTTGAGATCAAATCTGAAATCAATGATTAATTTTACTTATTTTATCTTTATTTTGAAGAGAAACAACTTCAATCTTATTAGAATGTAATAACTTCACTAGAGTTTTTTTATTTTAAAAAGACATATATGTGACGATTCGTGCTTCTATTTGGTAATTCACTGTGTTTCCATTTTTGCATTATTCGGACATTTATAAATTGACTTGATCTTTTTTTTTTAAAAGCAAATTTTACTTGAATCATTCTTTGCATAGAGAATGAGTTGGATTGTGCTCATGGTATATAACCAAATAGGTGCGACACTCTAGCTTAAGAGGAAGTTTATATCGTTAAAATAAATGAGAGATATTGGGTATATAAGTAAGCAAATCTTACAAATTAGTGAAATATTTTAAAGTCGTGCGGACTTAGGCCCAGTGGACAATATCACTAATAGGCTGGACCATTTTAAATGGTATTAGAATCACTTATATGTCAACCTTGTGATGCAGGCCAGAGTTCAACTAAGTTTAATTAGGCAAATTCCATTAAAGCGAGACAAACTTCACTGTTGAGTAGAGGTCTTACCAACTAGTGATACGTTTTAAAATTGTGCACGCCCAAGCTTAAAACGAACAATATCACTTGCAGGGTCGGACGTTACATGGAGAATGAGGGTGGTTTTTGGATTGTATAAATATTGCAAACTTGAACTTTCTTTGAGAACCATGGATACGATAG